GTATGGAATATATATTAATTTATCATAAAATTTTAATGTTCGATTATCCATTTTGTTAAAAGTAAAAATATCAAAATAGAATGTATAAACAATTATCTTCAAGTTTTAGTCATTTAAATTAACCTATTCGCGGTTACTTATTAAAATTATTTTTGAAATTATAAAAAAACTAAACGATAATATTTAAAGGGAAAAATACGTTTTATACCTATTTCTTTAACTCAAAAATAAAAATATTTAAATTTATGTTAAAATTTATCTTTTTTAGAGTCAATATTATATTTTTAATATTTATTTCATATGATGTGTTTATTTTATAATTTATAAATTTATAACTATTGGATAAAATGCGTTTAAAAACATTTTTTAATTCAAAAGTAAAAGTTAAAATCATTGAATTATAACCATAGAAAGGAAGAAACATTAAATTTAGTTTAAAAATATAAAAATCATTTTTAATCTTGTATTAATTTGAGATTCAAGTATATACAAAAAAAAATCCACATAAGAATCAACGAATAAATTTTGTTTCAGTGGTGTTAGTATCGTATGATCATATAGTTTGCTTAAGTCTCTGAATAATTAGTTTTATTTCTTTATTCTTCTGACAGTAACCTCAATATAGGTTATATATATGATTGTATAAACCTAATCACAAATGAATGGTCTAGCTTAGTGGATTTTGTGTGCTCAACTTCCCTCTAGCCTCTAGGATGTTGGTTTGATCTCCTTCATCTACATTTCATTTGTAACTTGTTTTTCCTTGTGTCGTCATTGGTTGGACAAAAATATTATATTGAATAAATTAAAATTATAAAAAAAAAGCTCTCCAATAAAATGGTGGCACATGTCACCATATGATTAGAAAATTAAATTTATTGAATTAAATTGGAATTAAGATTAAATTCATATAATATATAAATATTGATGATCAAATATGTAGTTATATTATTTTAGTTAATTGACACATCTCTTTCGTTAAATATTAAATGATTAGTGACTTGATTAAATATATTTAAATAATTGAATGACCTGATTGATAAAATCTAAAATAATAACCAAAATAAAAAAAACGAATAATAGTTAAGTAGGCGCTGATACAATTTACCTTTTATGAAAACATTATAGAAATTTTTTAAATTTTGAAATAGGATAAAGGACCCTCACATGTTTTTGTCATGGATAGAAGAAACTTTTGGTTTTGATTAAGAAACTCCCATAAATAATTGATGTTGTGAAAGACTACTTTGCAGTTCCTTCAATCCCGTTCCCCATCGAGTGGCACGGACAGGATAAATGATCACATTCGGTAGTCTTATTATACGGTTTAAAAAATATTATTGATTTTATTATTATTTAAATAATAAATTTGATAAAAAATTATTAAAAATATTTTTATTTCTATTGGTTTTATTATTATTGGGTGTTTTACCTATTTTATTAATAAAACTGGTAAAATACAGTCGGCTTTGTTATTTTTTCTATCGATTTTGTTATTGATGGACACTTTACAGAAAATATTAAAAATATGGATGTTTAAAAAAAATAATACTATTTTAAATATTTTTTATTAATTTTATTATTTAAATAATAACAAAAATAATAATATCATTTTAATTATATATTAAAAGTGCCGCTGTATAGAACTTCCACAGACACTAGCTAGCAGCCGTTCTTCCATAAGCTTATGCCACGTTCCCAATTCATTACTTTATTCTCGCGTTCAAACAAAAAGGCATTTTTTTAATAATGGATTGAAAAAAATTCATCTTATATAGATTTAGTGAGAAATTATTTTTCTAAATAGGGTATTGATTATAATATTTATTAAATTTCGTCTGAAATGATTTTTAAAGGTGGTCTGGAGTATATGATTTTTCTTTATATTTTATACTTGCACGATAAAAAGGATAAACTGAACTAATAAAACATAATATTTTTTTCCTAAAATATTATATATATTTAATTTATACATAATTTTATTTAGGATAAACTAACTATTAGGTCACCCACCTATTATTTAATTTATGTTTTGGTCAATTAATTGTTATTTTTTTAAAATCATAGTTAATCTTATGTTTTGATTCTATTTTGATCACCCACCATTGAAAAAATAAACAATGATGTTAACATGATATTTTTAAGTTATTTTCAATCATGACATGATATTATCTTATGATGACACACTAACATTACCGTTAATTTTTTAAGGACGAGTGAGCAAAACACAACCAAAAAAAAATAACCAAAATAAAACAAAATGAGTGATTGAACAAGTATTTTACCATTTTTAGGCATAGGATGAGGCTTGGCCTAGGTAGACTTAGGCCTAGATACACGCCCAGTGGTATGCAGAAGACGTCGAATAGTCCAAATGTATTCTAAAAGACGTCATGTAATTTATATGACTTTCGATGAATACTATAACAGAGATCATAATTAAAAATAACAATTTTCTTTACACCTTGTATGATCAAATAATTTTTTTCAACATATTATTAGAATAATTTTGTTAACAAAAAGGGTTAATATTATATACAATGTTAAAGAAAAACATTCAAACATTTTGAAGGGGTTAAATAAATAAAAATTTCAAATTTCAAATGGTTTATTAATAGTTTTTTTCAAAAATTTTGGGGGGTTATATTTTTATAGGATTCAATGATATGTAGCCCTCATTTAGTACACTACCAGACATTTTAGGTAAGAAAACAAGGTTCACTTTGCAGTATTTGAATGAACCAAACGAAAGCTTTTTTGTGTGTGTGATTAACACGAATGTATGTAATTCAAATTAAATTATTTCAGTAATTAAGAAATAATAATAATTTTTTAGGATTTTGAATTAGAACACGACGTGTAAAGATGTTTAAATGCTTATTGTTAAATAAAAATTCATTATAATATATACTACCTTATTATATCCGACTAATAAAAAATAATGGTATGCCACCCTTGATTAGAAGGTCATTTAAATTGATGTGCTTGTATAGTATATGATTAGAAGGTCATTTAAATTGAAATCAACCGCTACTATAATATTATAAATAATTATATAAAAACTCAAATAAATATATTTGATTTGACTCAACTCAATAAAATTAAATAAATATTAAATGATAAAATAATACTTGTAAACTCAATTAATTAAAAAAAATTACTTAACTCGACTAAAATTATATACTCACCTATATATATAAATAAAATCTCAATATTACTAGCAAAGGTTGAGTAGTCTCATCTAATGTATGCTATGTTAGCGTTTCTTTGAATTTTATCAAGAAAAAATTCAACTTTCTGCCTAATTACATTGTAATATTTGATTATATTATTTATCATGTGTTATTTGTGATGACTTGTAATTTCTTAAGTTTGAGGGTTATATTAGATGTAATAATAATTCGAATGTGACATTAATTTTTTTCTTTAAAAATACAAGAACCTTATATATTTTCCGTCAATAATTTAATAAAAAAAACTTACTCATAGTAAAATTCAGATGACATTCAGGATTTAGAGCTTCAGTATCCTAAATTATAAACATTCTTTAATAACTATTATATGATTTATTGAAATAAGTTATTTGATTATGAATTGAAAAAAATAGATTAAAGAATTATCAATTTTAGATTAATCAATCAATAAATTATTAATAGTAATAATTAAATTTAAAAATTTAAAATAAATTCAACTTTAGTAAAAATGTATACTACTTAGCAAAAGTTTATCATGTAAATCAATAAACATTATTACACTTTTAGATGTTTGGAATATAACTGTCATAAAAAACTCGTTAAGTGATACATGTCACATTTATTTATTTTGTTTTAAAATCAACCCTTCCCCTCACGTCGTTCCCTCCTCCTCCTCCGCCCATGTTTTCTCTCCCTCCCGCCCTTATCTCAGACTGTGAAATGTCATTACTAGTTAATTTTTTCCGAACCAGAGAGAGGAATTCAAAGGTGATTGTCGTGTAACACACAAACAACAAAGAAACGTTGGAATCGTCGAAAAACAACAAACAAAAACCTAAAAATTCAACGATCTTTCATGACGCCTTTCACGATGATCAACGCAATTTCACGGTGACTAATGGATTGGGTTTTGATCGTGATGACGAAACGATTCTGATGACATCAACGATTATGGCTGCGTACTTGTGGTGGTCAATTGACAGTGGATGAAATAAATTTTGGGTTTTAAAATATATTTTTAAAATTTTATATGCATAACACATATAAAAAAACAATCAAATTTAACAGAGATTACGGTCCAGAAACTTAAAAGTGTAATAGAAAAAACGTTAGAAATTTATTTTTAACGAAAAATTATTTAGATACCGAAATTTAATTTTGAATATAATTTAAACATTTATTTTTATATTAAGAAAAATTAATATTGTGATTCCTTGTTTTATACACCACCGTCAGAAATGCGTACAAAGTTTACTAACAAGGTTAAGATATTAAAAACCAATATATGTTCTATCAATACACTTTAATTACTAATCTATAATCTATATTATTAACAGCAATCCGTGATGCATGAAATTACATACCACCTAATAGATTCCATTTGCTGTAATTAAAGGGTAATTGTGGCAATACAAGTGATATAAGATTCGAATGAACATAATTGTTGTTTATTAATATAATTATAATTAAAAATCAAGTCAAAAGTTTTATCAGAGAGCTGCAAACTGTAATAGTGAGATTAGCAAATATATATATAGGTCGGAGAACAAATTATAAAATAAATTTTATAATGAGCTATTTTTGGTCCATAAAAAGTCAAATAAAAGAATCCTTTTAACAGTTTTATTTATTTGAAAAAATGAAACTCTAGTGATTTTCTCTTTTTTATTATGGTGTTTTGTGTGATGTATTTAATGACGTGGTGGAATCTTGACCTTGGATGGAAAACAATGGCCCCTTGAAATAAGAACAGGAAGGGTGAGATTGCTCGAAACTCTTCAAGCGACAGCTTTCCTACAATTTTTTCAAGAAGAGAAAGTTGCTGCTTCTCCGGTCACCCCATTTTCAAGGGAAAATCAATTCAAAAAATATGAAATCCACTCCTATCATTGTCGCCTTTCCTCTTTTTTGATAAACATAACGCGTTCTGATTTTCATACATTTTGTTTTTTTTTCGTCGGGGGAGAATCGGATGGCGAAGACGGTTTTGTTGAGTTCCGATCCAACGGTTAGTGCCAGAGCGGTGGAATTGAAGAAAGAATTGCAAAGTCTGGTTAGGACCATCGTCGACGATGAGGATTACAGCATCCACGCCGTCGATCAAGCTAAAGATACTCTATGTGCTTTGAGACATCTTAAGCTCAATAAACAATCTACGGCGGCCACCGCCACTACCACCACCACGTCATCCTTGAAGTTACATGAAGCCTTTTCGTGTCCCGAAGAGTTTAAATGTCCTCTTTCTAAAGAGCTTATGAGAGATCCTGTCATTTTAGCTTCTGGTCAGGTAATCGGCCTTGTTTCTTTCCATTTTATGAAAAAAATTTGAATTGTTATTTGGTGATTTAAAGGAATTGAATTTTAGTTGATTGAGGTGAGATTTATCCTCAATTCATATCGGTTACAGTGAATTTCTTTTTCTGCATATATGTTTCAGTGAGAAATTTACCATCATTTAAGAGTGATTCTGATGTAATTAATTGAAATTGAATATTACAAAGTACAGTGTCGATATTTATACTACTTTACTACTTTCTCAGCTATGTGAAGATGATTGAATGGTATCTAATGGATAAATTGCACATTCTTTTAAGATGATTGTTTTTATTAGTTTTCTTTTAATTTGACGTTCATGGATTTGAGCCCTCCTTTAGGCTGGTTGTTCTAGTTTGCATGGCTTCGACTAATTCTCACTCGATATGTGTCTTGAATCCTGATTTGGTTTCATTTTGTGCAGACATACGACAGACTATTTATACAGAAATGGCTGAATGCGGGCAACAGGACTTGCCCTCGGACACAACAGGTTCTTTCACACACACTTCTCACTCCGAATTATCTTATTTTGGATATGATATCGCAGTGGTGCAAGAGTCAGGGGATCGAATTGCCAAGCCCTGTTATGAATGGTAAAGAGGAGGGGGTCACGGTAGCAGAACGCGATCATTTCTTTTCTTTGCTCGAGAAGTTAACTGCTGTGCTTCCTGAACAGAAGAAAGCAGCAAAGGAGCTCCGGATGTTGACGAAAAAGATGCCTTCATTCCGGGCTCTTTTTGGTGAATCTGTTGATGCCATTCCTCAACTGCTCAACCCAATCTCTGGCAGCGAATCTAAAGGTGGTGTTCACCCTGACCTCCAGGAAGATGTGATCACAACACTCTTGAATCTTTCAATTCATGACAGCAATAAGAAGCTTGTTGCTGAAACTCCAGCAGTTATTCCTCTTCTTATGGAAGCACTGAGATCCGAGACTATTGAAATAAGGTGCAATGCAACTGCAGCACTTTTCACTCTATCTGCTATTGATTCTAACAAGGCACTTATTGGTAAATCAGGTGCCTTGAAACCTCTGATTGACCTTCTCGGTGAAGGTCATCCATTAGCTATGAAAGATGTTGCTTCTGCGATATTTAACCTATGCATTATTCATGAGAATAAGGCAAGAGCCATGAGGGATGGTGTGATAAGTGTCATTTTAAAAAAGATTATAGACGGTGTTCTTGTTGATGAGTTATTGGCTATCCTTGCAATGCTTTCAACCCATCAGAGGGCTATGGAGGAAATCGGGGAGCTTGGAGGCATTCCATGCTTGCTTCGGATTATCAGGGAGAGCACTTGTGAACGCAACAAGGAAAATTGCATTGCAATCCTCCACACCGTATGTCTTAATGATCGAACCAAGTGGAAGGCATTAAAGGAAGAAGAGAGTACCCATGGAACGATATCCAAACTTGCTCAAGATGGAACTTCTAGAGCCAAAAGAAAAGCTACTGGCATTCTCGAAAGACTGAGGAGGGCTGTTAATATTACTCATACTGCATGAAGACATTACTCGATGCATAACTATCGAGTGCATCATTTGTAAATTCTGCTTCCAACACCCAGTGATCAGGTTTGTAAATACTTGTGCCTCATCAGAGTTTTTAATCTCGGTTTTACGAGTTTGCTGTTGTTAATAAACACTCTGGAAGCTTATGTTTATAGATTTCTCTTTTGTCTGGTCCAATAACTTTCTTTTCTGCAGGCATTTTGGCGTTTACAGGTAACAGAATCTTGGCTCTTTTTTACTTATTTCCTATCATACATATGAATTTGTATTCGGATTTCAGTGTGCATTAGTTTCTTTCGTTTCAAACCAATAGTTTCTTGCACAATATCGCATGGCCGTTTTTAGTAGATACTTGAGTTTTACCTGCCATATGTGTAACTTTAATCCATTTGCACATCATCCTTCAACCTTGGAATTATGCCATAAAAATGTTTATATTCTAACTTCTGCTTTGTCCATAACATATTGGAATATTTCTGGTAATAGCAGAAAAAAATGGGCTTGTACTGAAGAAAGAAGCAAGGTTTATATGACACCATGGATGGTTCATAATGGATCCAAAATGTTGGAATGAATGGTCCCTTAAAAGGGTTGGTAAGAACGTGTTGATATTTTGGCGATTTCTGGGGTTGTGGTCCATACAATTTGCTGCCCCCCCCCCCCCGGCTCCCTCTGATCTCAAAAGTATTCTCTATTGTTACATGCCTAATAAATTCCAAACTCCCACCGATTGGCATCTTATAGCTATCATCCTATGATTTAAAGGTAGGAGGGTAATTTTCTCATCTTTTTTCGTTTAAAGGAATTAAAGGACTCTCTTTATTCTCTATTTCATAGCTCTCAAATATCTCCAAGCCCGGTCTTACGCGATGTGATCAGTGATTCTTTATTTATATCAGAAATACCACGAACTAGCCTTTATAGAAAATCGATATTGATGTGGTAGCTTAAAAGCATTTTTTTTAGATTATTCTTGAAAATTAACTATTGAAGTAATCTCTAAGATTCATGATTCTTAGGTAATTTATTTTTGAAAAAAATATTTTTTATCTTTACAATGAATGTAATGCTCTCTTTTCGCTCGTGTTCAAGTCTGTATAACACACTCTAGGAAAAAAAGTGTTACATCCATTATTAAATAATATTTATAAGACTAATCCGAGTTGCCATCAATAGCCAATATATATATAAGAGACAATAGTAATAATCATTTGAGTCGGATGAAGTTAAAAAAAACTTTTTATCTTAAATTTAATTCTGATTCTCTCATTTACAGAACTCATCCTAAATCTGAATAAAAAAATAATTTTATAGAATCGCATAAGTTATAACTTATTAAATGTGTATATTTTGACCCTGCCAAATTGTGTCTACTCATAGTCAAAACTATATTTATTATCGTTTTAAAGTTATTTTTATAATGTTATATTTTTCAAGTATTTGGCTCAGATGTTACTTGAAAATGATAACACAGGCTTTCTACCTCCGAGTATCTGTAGGTGAAACTTATTTTCTTCTTCTGGTACTCATCTTAGAGCTAAGATTAGCAAATATTGCAAGTCTGCTTGAAACTCCAATAGGAAAGTGACTTACTTATATCCATCTCTACACGTGTTGCTAGTGATAATTGACGTGTGGTTTTGGAGGGGGGGGGGAATTTACCATTCTAGAAAACGTGGGCGTACGAAAAGTTCCAATTCCTTTTTCATTGAAAAGCGTGTTGGTTTTGCGGCCTAAGATTTTGGTGCCCCCAGCCTTCCATTAATGTCAACGCATTGTGGTATTAGGAAAGTGCCTAGTGTTTATGATCACCTAATTTATGATTATATGATTTGAATTTAATATACCTTCGTATAAACACAGCATTTTAAACATAAAAAACTGTTCACGACGTTGAAATGCTAACTGAAAATGCAGTTTTGGTTGCATCCGTATCTTTCAATTCTCCAGGAATCAAAAGAGAGGGGCGGGGGGGAACAGACCACGATTCATTGCTGAAAATTGAGCAGTTTTAACCATTGCCAACATTTGTAATAATCATGGAATGTTTTACAGCATCATGTGGCTGGCTGGCTGTCTAAAATAAATCCAAAGAAAGAATAGAGGTACTTATTTGTTTCGCCAAAGCAAAAGCACGAGGGAGGAGGACAATTTGGTTCTGCTTTATATTTGATGCCAAATGCAATGACGCATACCTTTTACATTTTGCCAACATTTGTAATAATCATGGAATGTTTTACAGCATCATGTGGCTGGCTGGCTGTTTAAAATAAATCCAAAGAAATAATAGAAGTACTTATTTGTTTCGCCAAAGCAAAAGCACGAGGGAGGAGGACAAGTTGGTTCTGCTTTATATTTGATGCCAAATGCAATGATGCATACCTTTTACATTTTTACTTTAATGTCACACCATTCATGCGTTAAATTGTACTCTGGGTCCAAACCAAGGTATTCATTTTATAAATATGTACAATGTTAACTGCTATGACAATAACTGTACAATTTCAAAGGTAAATGACATATCCATTCTACACTCAACCAACAACTTCAAACCAAAAGCAGATATGCAGACTATCACCATTTTACTTCACAATACTTCACTCTGCTGCTAAATCATGGGCATGTCCAGCAGATTCACCTCAACATTTCACGATTTAGTCCATCTTGTACGCCCACCCGTGTTCGTCTAAATATGCTTGCACCGCTTCCTTTATTGCCAAGTTCGGTATAAGCTGGGATTGGTCGAGCGGCTCGCGTGTGATTGGATCAAATTTACCAACATGAATTGTCAGCAAGGAAATGATTCAAGTTTAGTGTTAAGAGAGACAAAAGATATCCAAACAACCCATGTTTCCAAAGCAAGCTACCTTCTGAAGATGGTCAAGGATCATTGCTCTCTCATACGTAACTCCACTCGGAGTAATAACAGGATCACGGAAAATATCAAGTGCGATTTTACAACACAAGTAATCCGGCACCTGAAATTTTCCATCATGTCTCCAAAATAAAACAAAATAGCAAGTATAGATGAAAATGGAAACAATATATATAAAAATAAGCAAACCGCATTCTTACCTCATCCGGGATGTCAGCTTCAGCAGCTTTCCTAAACACCTGTCTCAGAGCCTCGAGTTGTTCCATATGAGAAATGCTAGCCTTATCCAAGAAACCTTCTGGTTGAGAATCATCAAGGAAATGTTTTTCTCTAAGATCAGTTTCACAAGCCTCCCTGCAAAACCGAAGAAATAATAGCATGAAGCAGAAAATAAACATTATGAACAATTCTCCATCAAAAACTTGAAAGGATGCAATCATTCCCCTCGAATCAACGGGCTAAACTCACAGGGATGACATACATCAAACTTTGCAACTCCCATGATCGCTTGGAAGATGCATGCTCCCATAGCAAGTACTTCGCTTTTGCAAGCTCCTGCCAAATGCCATCTACCATATAACCTTTTGGATTAGCACCCCTTCCAAGATCCAATGCCTACACAAACAAATTAGCTTTTTAACAGCGGGTCCATTATGGATGCCCCAAAAAAAAATTGTTAATTGAAAACTTCCACATTCAGCAACACACATTATTGATTCATGAACCTAGAATATTAGGAACACAAACAATAACCGGACTTCAAATGCCAATGCCTAGTACATTAGCTTAAACCTTTTCGGAAAATCATCAAAACTGACTAAAGTAAATCCAAAACCTAGCCATGTATTAAGGCAACTGCTTAAATCGTCACCACTTGAGACTATTGATAGCATTCATCCACTCAAACTAATATCTATGTAACAGAAAAAGCTAATAGCACAGGCTAATAAATACCTGCTCATATTAATGATTAAACTGACCACATTGAAAGCAGCAGTATGCACTAATACTAGAACCACTTTTCCACACTCATAACATACTGCCAACTATGGTTTACATAGCAGAGCTCAAATTCATCCACTTAACTTCTATGCTCCATGCGCTAAGACCAAGCTTGTTAAATACAAAAGCAAATAAAGAATCTCCAAAATATCTGGCAAGACGATGTTTCCTGTGCAAAATATGAACAAACTTAGAAAGAAGGTTGTTATTATTTACTAATTGATTTACAGCCTTTATAGAGAGGATAAGTTCATAAAAATGAAACAATACCTACAAATCAGTAATATTCCTAAGAATCATTGACTAAGATTAGATGCTAGTTTACAAGGTAACTCCTAGGACTAAGGTAAGAAATCTGTCCTTAATCTTAGAAATTCCAACACTTTCCCCCAAGCTGGAGTGTAGATATTTATCAAACCCAGCTTGCCAATAAGTTCTTCAAACATGTTTCTGGTCAAGCTTTTGGTTAACAAGTCTGCAACTTGTTGTCTAGTAGGCTTTGTTTTAAAAAGCGCGCCTGAGGCGCTAGGCGAGGCGAGGCGTTTAGAAGAAAGCCTCCGACCACCAAGGCGGCGGCGAGTACATGAGGCGGCGATTCAGTCGTCGGAGGCGGCGAGAGGCGATGAGGCGACGAGGCGATGCTTTTAGCGATTCACGTACAATGACCCATTTCACGTACAATTATTTGCTTAGCAAATAAACAGGCCACTGTAACAGAAAGATCAACAGCCCTATCCCTGTTTAGATGTAGGAAAAACCTTAACAGAAACGACGAGAATTCATAAGCGAAATGAAAAGCTGTACCTGAAAGAGAAGAACAGGAGTGTAGAAGAGGAGGCACTCTTTGAACGATATTGCCGATTGAGAAAAACCCTAGGGTTTCAAGATAAGTTGACTATTTATAGTGTGACCTTGAAGGCTACGATTCTTTATTTCACACGTGGACGGCCTGATTAACATTGACGGTCATGGAAAGTTAAAATTTGGGCCGAAATTTTGAACTCTTTTTTAATGGGTCTCTTTTTGGTTTTATTGGCTTTTTTAGAATATGGATACTAAACTCACTTGTTTTATTCTGTTTTGAATTAAATCTAATTAAATAATAAAAATATACTAAATTTGATTGATGAAGACGATGAAGAGATAGAACATGATATTGGACTTTCTGAAGATGATGGGGAGGAGGAGGTGCTTGGGATTGATGTTAATGATGATGATGATGAAGATGAGTTTTAGGCATTTTGATTATTGATGATGTTTTTTATTTGTCTTTTTGAGATACAATATGACATATGCTACTTGGTGTTTTTGCTTATTAAGTTAATTATTAAGTTATTTTGTGTTTGAGGTATGATTATAAAATATTTACAAATGTTTTGTAAAATTAAGCGCCTCGCGTACGTGAATCCCTCGCCTCAGAGCGCCTCAAAAAATTAAGGCTTTTGGGTAGCTAATCGCCTTGGAGCGCCTCGCGCCTTTTAAAACACTGCTAGTAGGTAGGTAGGAAATGCACACTTCTCCCGAGTTAATCTTCTCTTTGATAAAGTGGCGATCTATTTCCACATGTTTGGTGAGATCGTGATGAACAGGATTATGTGCTATCCTGACAGCTGCCTGGTTGTCACAATGCATCTTTATAGGTCTGGTGTAGGGCACTTTTAGTTCTCCCATTAGTCTTTGTATCCAGATTCCTTCACATATACCATGGGATAGTGCTCGATACTCTATCTCTGCACTGCTGCGCGCTACAATTGACTGTTTTTTGCTTCTCCACATCACAAGGTTACCCCAAACATAGCTACAGTAACCACTTGTAGAATGTCTATCGTTAACAAACCCTGCACAGTCTGCGTCAGTGTATACTTCCACATTCCAGTTGGCAGTTTTCTTGAAATGCAAGCCTATACCAGGAGTCCCTTTTAGATACCATAATATCATGTACGCAACTTCCAGGTGTTTCTCTCTTGGGGCATGCATGTACTGGCTGATAACACTCAGACCGAAGGCTATGTCTGGACGGGTGTGAGAGAGATAGAAAAGTCTCCCAACTAGTTGTTGATATCTCCCGTTGTCAACTTCTTCTCTATCCTTACCAGTCCCCAATTTAAGATTAAATTTCATAGGAGTTTCGACTGGTTTGCAACCCAACAAACCGACTTCAGATAGTAGATCAAGAACATACTTTCTTTGAGAGATAGAAATACTTGCCTTAGACCTTGCTACCTCCATTCCAAGGAAGTATTTGAGATTTCTCAAGTCCTTAAGTTCGAATTCTGCATTGAGGAACTCTTTTAGCTTCTCAATTTCGCTTGAATCATCTCCTGTTAATATTATATCATCCACATTAACAATGAGGATGCAACATTTTCCACTTTTCGAGTGTTTGTAAAACATGGTGTGGTTTGCCTGTCCTTGAATGTAACTTCTACTGATCATAGCTTTAGCAAATCAGCTTAACCACACCCTTGGGGACCTTGGAGATTGCTTCAGTCCATATAAGGACTTCTTCAATTTACACACTTGGCCCTTGCTCTCTTCAAACCCAGGTGGAAAGTCTATGTACACTTCCTCATTTAATTCTCCATTGAGGAATGCATTTTCACATCCAATTGAGTTAAAGGCCAATCCAAGTTGACAGCTAGGTATAGAAGAACTTGAATAGTGTTTAGTTTGGCAACCGGTGCAAACGCCTCATCGTAGTCAAGACCATAAGTTTGTGTGAAGCCCTTAGCCACAAGTCGAGCCTTGTGTCGATCAATATTGCCATCGGGTTTAAATTTTGTAGTGAAGATCCATTTGCATCCCACTGTCTTCTTCCCACTAGGTAGATCCGAGACTTCCCAAGTTTCATTGCTTTTTAGAGCCTTCATTTCTTCCATCACAGCTTGCCTCCACTCAATTGATTCAAGAGCTTCTTCTATATTTTTTTGGGGTTTCTACAGAATCAACATTAAACACAAAAGTTTTGTAAGACTTATATAAGTTTCCATAGGACACAAACCGAAAAAATAGGATGTTGAGAGCAGCTCCTTGTGCCCTCTTGAATTGCAATTGGAAGATAGATGGATGGAGATGGAGGAGAGACTTCTGTTTCAAAACAGTCCTCGGTTGGGGATGAAATTGGCACGGTTGTATCAGTTTCAATAGGATGATCCCGCCGAGAGTAAACTCGAAGTTCTGGAGCCTCGAGAGCCCGTTCTTGCTGTCTTCCTGAATCAGGTGGCCGTTGTTGCTCTTCGGTGGTGTGATTAACTGTGTTAATTTCTTGATGCACAGGGGAAACAATGTCTAAATTTGGGATTACAATGGCACCCCGATTATTAGGCTTGTTTGTGATAGTAGTGGTAGTATCAGGCGGTATATTGTGTACGGTATTAAGGGTCTCATCTTCATTGAGAGTCTCCCCCTGAAGATGAGATGCTGCAAAATATGGTTCATTCTAAAAAAAGGTGGCATCCCGAGAGACACATTTGGTGCAAGGTTGGTGAATAACACTTAAAGCCTTTTGTGTGGGGGATAACTAATGAAGACGCAAGTGTGGGCTCACGGATCAAGTTTGGATTGATTGGGTTGATGATTATGGACAAAGACTTTGCAACCAAATATTTTTTTGTGGTAGATTAGGAACACGAAATAAGGGAAAAGCCTTTTGAAGAGTATTTAGAGGTGTTTGGAGGTTTAGTACCTTTGGTGGTAGTCGGTTTATGAGATAGTAGGCAGTAAGGACAACCTCCTCCCACAAGTATTTTGGAAAACCCATGGTGAACATGAGGTCTCGAGGCACAACAATGAGATATCGGTTTTTTCTCTTGGAGATCTCGTTTTGTTGAGGGGTGTCAGGACGAGCTCTGGTGTATGATTCCTTGGTTAGAATAAATTGAGTTCGAACCATTGAGTGAAAGTTTTGGAATATTTTTGGTGTTTCGGATTTTTCTTTGAGAAGGTAGACCCAACAGACCCTAGTGTGGTCATCAATGAAAGTTATAAACCACCTAGCCCCCGTAACATTCTTTACTCTGTTGGCTCCCCATATGTCACTATGAATTAATGAAAAAGGTTGGGACTGGATGTAAGGTTTTAATGGGTATGGTACACGGGTATGTTTGGTGTGTCATAGACTTGGTGTGTTCCACGCCTTCACTCCAGTCAGCCTCATAATACATATTGAGTTCCTGCCATAGGATCTTCAGATTATTGTAGTAGTGGGTTACTTCGAGCGTCCCTTGTTGAATATCTTTTAATTTGAGTTTGATCTCAAATACTTGAGAAGCGTTTCCCAAATAAGAGTAGTTCTCCATGACTGCATCCCACATATCTTTTGCAGTCTTGAATAGAAGATAAGTACGGCTTATGTGGCTTTCCATTGAGCTGATTAGCCAGGACATTACAATTGAGTTGTTGAGCTCCCATGTAGAATAAGTAAAATCTTCTATGGTTGGTCGTGGAATTTCTCCATTGATGTATCCTAGTTTTCCACGACCACGAATCACCATAAGAACGGATTGGGACTATTATAAGAAGTTTTTTCCATCGAGAAGGTGATTTATGATTATAAGGGAGGAATTAGGTCACCTTGAGAGGTTACCTGATTTATATTTGGTGGAACTTGTGAAGTCCCAGATTCGGACAGAGTTTCGTCACCCATGGGAGGAAAGGGGGGCAAGTTTAGAGAGAGAAATCAAAGTTGAAAGAGGAGGATCGAAAGAGAAGGATCGGAATGATCCTAACGCTCTGATGCCATGAACAAACTTAGAAAGAATGTTGTTATTATTTACTAATTGATTTACAACCTTTATAGAGAGGACAAGTACATAAAAAGGAAACAATCCCTAAAAATCAGTAATATTCCTAAGAATCAGTGACTAAGATTATATCCTAGTTTACAAGGTAACTCCTAGGACTAAGGTAAGAAATTTGTCCTTAATCTTAGGAATTGCAATAAAATATAACTCTAACAAATAGTCTTTCTCGTGAGATGATATTTTTCTCTTCAATGCTCTGGTCAAATCTCCAAAAGAAAAGCTCTCAGATGCATCCCAAACCAAAATGCATTTCCAGTTATATTTCTCTTGCCCATCACCATCCCTTGACCAAATCTCAAATCTTTTTGTCAAGAATCCAAGTCTATATGATAAAATATACCAAATGAAGCCATCATAGCAGACTAAAGTTAAACAAAAACTTTTATTTCTTATATGACATGAGGTTCCTATATCCATCCAAAGCCAAAAAACACACACGGCATGCTTCAAAATGAAGATGCATAAGACATTTACATTAAATATAATGACCCTGCAACTGCCATACAATTGTATGAGAATAAAATAACAAATACATTAATAAAATGAGCACATGCATACTAGTTACTACATGTGATGATTGAACAAACAACAAAAAAAAAGTTGCACGTATTTACTTCAACAATCTCAAGCAAAAGAAATCAAAAGCATCCAGAATGCGATCCTAATTTAAAGGGTTTCCAGCATATAATTCCTGATTCTAAACAAACAGAGATTCATCATGTCATCTGTACCTTTTGTAGTTCCTTGACCCCTTCATCTAATTCTTGCTTTTTAAGCAATGCAACTCCCATCATGTAGTGTGCCTATCAAGTAACCAAATGTAAGTGTACCCTGATAGTAGCAATAGTAAAAGATAAAGTAGGCGGATAAAGCATAAACTACGCCAGCCACGGTTTTATGTTATTGAGGAACAATTAAAAATGAACATAACTACAAAGCTAAAGCCTGCAGCAAAGGAGGTTACATGTGAAACCTTTACGTAATAAAATGGAAACTTTAAACCGGTTGATAATTTCCTTCAAGTCATTAACATATTGCCAACATTGGAAAATCAATTTTTTTGTCTCTTGGGAAAATATATTGCCATTTAGATTCTGAATTGGAAATTAAATTAAATAACCGAAGACACATGATTATCTCAAGAGTTCCAAATCAGATTTGAATTGGTTTATACCTAAGACTAACACAATGTAGCGTCCTTGATTTTGTTTCAAGCCATATTCAGATTTTCAAATTTCAAATCGCCGTTTGAAAGACCAGTAAACAATTAAACTCGACTCATTTTCCTTAAATCCTTACAAAAAAATTAGAGTATGAATTAAAAACTCATTCATGATAATTAGGTGCACAGCATACTCTAAGAATCAGCATAAGAGAAGAAGAAATGAAAGGAGATAACCTTGACAGAAGTGTAGTCAAGCTGAATAGCTCGCCGGCAATCCTCTTCCACTTTCAACCAATCACTGCGTGATACCAATAGGAGACCCGTTAAAAAAACATTTCCCCCCCCTTAAAAGAAACATTTTTTTATATAAAATTACTTATAAAAGGATTGAATACATACTTCCGCTTGCGATGGCAAAGAGCGCGATTCGTCCAATATACAGGAACATTAGGGCATAAAGTAATCGCCTTTAACCCCCCGCCCCCCAAAAAAAACAGAAAACTAAGAAAATTAAATGATAAGCAGTAACAAATTAATAAAAAGGGGAAAGGTTTTAAACCTCGGTATAAGCATCGATGGCAGCCCCGAAACGATTTTTCTTAAAATAAAAGTTGCCGTCTTTCCTCAGTTGCTCAGCTTGTTTGGCCGCCGCCGTCAATGCGGAACCTGACACCATTTTCTTCTTTGTCTTTCCTTAATAGTTCACCGTAAAGCGTAAATCGATAAGAATTCAAGCTCGTTTCAGATAAAAGCAACCTCAAAACGCAGAACCCTCCACAGTTTTTACTTCTATTTTGGCCTTTTTTTTTTTCTTCTTCTTCTTATTTTGGGAAGTTGTAGCATCACATGTTTTGGATGCATTACCTCACAGCCGAATATGATTGGAAGATAAATACTTCAACGCTTGAATTTGATGTTTTGATCTATCATCTATGTTGTTTTTTCCCTGTTTGTAAGTCAATTGGTAAATAAACAAATAAACATAACTCAAGTGGCCGTTCCAGTTAATATCGTTTAAATTTAATTATTTAATTATTTTTTGAATAAAAGAGTATAATTCAAACACATATAAAACTTATATTTTTTTATTATGGTATAAATACAAAATAATATCTGTTTAAAGATAAATTCTTAATATTTTGATATTGATTATTTATATTAATAACATTTATGGTGCTCGTACTTAAATTTTTTAAAAATAATAATAATTTTTTTATCACGATGATCACTTGATTCGTACATATAAAACATATATCTAAACTTAAAGAACATTTTAAAATCATATATCAACACGCTCGAAAGCAAAAGCAATTTTTTTGGCTCAATTTTTATTCCATTTTGACGAGCTTTGCATTATTGTTTTCTATATTTTCGTTCGAAATGGATAACTACAAGTAGGGATCGACGAAAAAATTGATATCAGTGGTGTAAATTTAACTTAAGAAATTAAATTTAAAGTTTTAAGGGCAGAATTATAAAATTATAGAGGGTATGAATTTATATAATCAATATAAAAAATATAAGAAAATTTTAAAATTTTAAAGGGGTTCAACCCCTGAGTTTATAAGGTGGGTTGACTGAACCATTAAATATGCTTATATTAATATTTAATTTGATATTTAAAGTATGATGCTTATATAAAAAAATAAAAAACTTAAAATATATAATAATTTTAATTTTTTAGCTGGCGATTGTCCTCACCCATATTTCAATCCATCTATGAATTGATCTAAAGTTAAACATGCAAAATTTAGGGTCCATTTTATTTTAGAAAATATATTTTTTGTTTTCTATTCTTACTTTTAGAAAATAGTTTTCATTTTCAGTTTTTTGAAAAAATAACTCATTTCTTAAAATGTAGATGAAAAAATAGTTATCAAATAATTAAATTAAAGAATCATTATTGAAAAATTACATTACATAAATTTAGTATGTGAGTTATGCAAATATAAAACAATAAAGTTGATAAAAAATCATAACACAAAAATTATTTTAGTTTATAATAAGAACATAATGTTAATGCATATTATATATCAATTAAATTTAAAAAATACACAAAACATATCATTATAAGCAAGAGCACACAAAAATGTCATTAAAATAAGAAAATATATTTTAAGTGGTATTTTAAATGTGACCTTTAAATTGAGGGAAAAAATAAATCTAACTCTCTAACCAATTAAAAAGGTTGATCGTCAGAGTGTTGATGTGATAGTTCATGATGCTAATGTGGCAGCACATGATGAATGATGATGTGATAGATTGATTAAATTGATTTTTATACCAAGTTTGATGCCTAATTGATTTTTTATAAAGTTTGAAGACTTATTTAATTTTTTAGAAAATTTAAGAAACTATTTAAATTTAGAATAGAAAATATAATGATTATTGAGATATTAAATATAAAAAAAGTTTTCTAGATTTGTCACTAAAAATAACTGATGAATGATTTTTTTTAAAAAAACTCAACACATTCTAAACCATCCGAGATATCTTGGACAATATATATACACCAGTCAGACAGCTTAGGACGTTAGAAATGCAATGGAGTTAGAATGGTAGGTAGCTATTTGTTGCAAAGATATAATAATAGTGTTCAACCACAACCCTTAGGCTGTAACAAATTAAAAGAATTCAACCTGACTATTTATTACCACCAAAATTTATTTATTTTCCCAACATACTAATTTATACACAATTATAGATGCAATGGAGTATTATATATTTTTAACATAGTCTAAACTACCAAAACTCAAATGATTAAACAAACGGAAAAGTATAGAAAAAGATAAATCTTAGAGGCACCAAATACTTGGCGGTCACATTTAACTCCATTGAATTTTTGCGACGCTGTCTGCCATCAAGCTAGGCAGGCTAGTACGCCCTATAAAAGGAGATACTCATCAATACATGCATCGACTACAAAGTCAAAACATCGTAAGACAGTGCCCAATATTAGTAAGAAACTCCATTGCTACAGTGCTAGAGTTTTAAATCTGCTACTTATGGCAAAGTATTGCAATGTTGTGCTCATTCTTGCTCTAGCAGTGGTGGTTCAAGCTACTGCTAGGAACGTTCCTAACGATGCTGCCGGCCTCAATGACCAAAAGAACTTCCTCACGTACGGTGGTGTTGGCGGCTACTTCGGCATTGGACCGAATGGCATGCCAATTGGTGGTGTTGGGAGTGCTAGTGGCATCACTGCCCTTGACGGTACAGGTCAGCTTGGCGGCTTAGCAGGCATGGGATTTGGAGGTGGTGTAGGAGGTGCCCTTGCTGGTATTTCTAGTGAGCCTGGTGTCATCCATTTTCCTTGAACTTTACTAGGGGTTCAAGTTTCAAAGCTCCTAGTTTAACTTGTGTTAGAGTAATATTATATTTGCTCTTGAGTGCGTGGCACGGTTAAGGTTGTAGTAATGTTTGTTGTGGTATGTTATGTCCTTTATTTTCTTATGTAATGCCATCCTTCTTCGGGCAATTATACTATATTGCGGTCCAATTTAAGCTTAATTTACAGCGGATTTTAATTTAAAATATTATCATATTTAACATAAAAATTTATACAATTAATAATAATTTTAATTACTACATAAAATCTTATATTGCAGTGGGTTTTAACCTAAAATGTTACATAATTATTCTAAAAAGTTATACAATTGGTAATAATTTCAATTACAACGTAGAATGTATGGACATTAACTTTTTAGGTTGCAACTAGAATAATTATGCAATTTACATGAATTGTAACGAAAAACGTAGTATTTTCGGTTTAAATCTAAAATATTATCCAATTTATTCTAAATAGTTACGCTCTTGATAAATTATTCGGTTACAACTGATTTTTTTCAATAAATTTTTAGTACACCGTTAAATTAAAGTTTCAACAAGTTTACCGTTAAAATTTCAATTTAACTCAGATTAAAATTCATCCTTAATTTCAATTTTAAAAACTGGAGATTAAATTGTAAATTATTATTTATTTAAGTACCAAAAGTTACAAACTAACTTTAGGGGATTTAAAAGACAACTTAAAATACGATTTTAAATTTGAAGGATTGATTTTTTTTACGATCCTTTTAACAAACGGGTTGGTCCTTCAAGTTAGCAAATCAATCTTTTTTATTCTAATAGTTAAAGGATCAGTTCTTTCCTCAAAAGGATCAATCCTTCTGCTATTAAATCTCAAATTTCATTTAAATTATGCATAATTGAGATAGCAAATTAATTATTAATTATTTCTAAAATCTGTGAACGTACATGAACATACTTACTCGTAACATTAAAATCATACCAAAACACAACTTTATCATGTTTCATAACACTAAATTCATACTTGATCGTTCCTTGTTATTGAAAATTCAATTATGCATTTTAAGTCACTTCTGAAGTAATTTTAGATAATTTAGGCTAACTTCTTACACAAGTAAGGTTAATATATCAATTTCATGCTTGTTTAACACTCGAATAAACATGTAGACACTCAATTTAACCAAATACATAAATCATATGAAAATTTTAAATTTTCAGGAGAGGGGATCGTCCCCGCCCCTCGGTCCATCTGTGGTTCTGAATGCTTGGGGACCTCTTTGCTTCAATTTCATCACACTTCTTTTCTAGGCTTCTCTCTCATTTATCCTTCATATATACTGACCTAATACTTCATGTATATCACCTTCTAAACTTCTCTTTACATAACCAAAGTAGGAAGAATGTCCAACATTAAACAGATCCATTCACTTCTTCTACTCTTCACTTTCTTCCTTGTTGCACACGTAATACAAGGTCATAACCCCCTTCATTTATGAATTTGTTCTTATATTGTAGTAAAAGAAAAAGAAAAAACCATAGATTTTCTTCCGTTTTGAAGGATCTAGAACTCAAGTATCGATTCCCTTCCAACATGGGGCCTCTCATTTTCCTCCATCAAATTTGCAGGTAAAAGTATTCCCAATTTCTCATCACAAATTCCTGCAATTCCTTTACTTCTTTAATCCCATTACAGGAAGCAGAAATGAAGAGGAGAATTATGATTGGATCCACATGGCCTACCTGCACTTATAATGAATGTAGAGGATGCAAACACAGATGTTCAGCCGAGCAAGTTCCAGTTGAAGGGAATGACCCCATCAACAGTGCATATCACTACAAATGTGTTTGTCATAGATCATAAATCCACTGAGTTTTAAGTTTGAGTTTCAATGGTTTAAAACAAGAAGGTATTAGAAACTAGATATCCCTACTGCTTTCAAAGATGTGTATTGTGAGGAGTGGTGTCCAGTTTAGCTCTTCTGTTTTCCTTTTGTATTTGGCTATGTTGCAATCTTCTTGTATTAATAATATGTTTTTCTCTAAATAATATTTTTTATTAATCTAGAGTGATTACAAGTGGTTGTATCTGTTCTAGAAACTCTCAATCATTTGACAATGAACTCTCAAATACACTATAGTTGTTGACACTCAAACCCGTAATTTTTAAAAATAATAATCATTACTTTTAACCACTGCGGTAGCTTGATTCGTGCACAATTATCGAAATAATTATATTTTTAAATAATCACCTCTCTTAATAATATTTTTTATAATATATTATGAATATTCCCACTTTCAAATTAAATAATTAATGGCGACTTTTTTATTAACCAAAAGACATAATTCTTGCAGCATTAATAACATTTTTACTTGTAACTATTGAAACATTTATTGCATAAATGAATGTCTCTTAGGATTGGACTTAGTATTGAAAAACATTTTAATTAGTAGAGCACATTGTTATTACATAATTATATAGATTTAAATTTTAAAATAATATTAATTAAAAATAAACTTTTTAATGTATTTATTTTTATTAAAATAATTCTATCATATATCAATATATATTTTATTAGATCTAAAATATATATTAGTGACATGTTTTTATTGAAAAACGCCATTATTTTTTTACATATGCAACATTAAGTATGAAATTTAATTTCATATTTATAATAAAAATTATATTTTTAATCGTAATATAATATATGATATTTAAATATAATGTTTTCTAAAGCAAATTAAAATAGTGAAATTTCGCTTTCCCACTGCTCGGCTTATTAAAGGCTTTTTTTTATTCTAAAAAATTTATATATATATATTTTATTAAACACCTTAGCAAATATTTCAACTCACAAGCACAAGCAGCCTCATTTCACAATTTTCATTTTAATATTTCAACCATTAACTATATTCTTGACTTCGTCCTTAAATCAAAATTATCAATAAATAAGAATGATATTTAACCTCCCAAAAAATGGTTTGAAACCGATAGTGAAGTTTGACGAAATGCATTAATGAAGAAACAGGAAGAGAGAAACACGGGAATGGATGCATGGATCTGAGAAAATTATTATATTTGGACGTAAAACACAAGATTGAATGGACCCCTTGAAAATCTTATCATCCTCAAGGATCAATCATCAATGGAGGACACCATGAAAATTAAAGCTTATTTCTCCTTACTACAAGAGCATTGTTCCTAGTAAAACCACCAAATGTTGATATTCAGAAATGGTGACCCATCAGTCAAAGAAAAGACCCATCCAAGACGTTGAGGGTGTCAACTGGCCACAGCTTCTATTCCACATTAATCTTAAAATCAAGTATTGAAACTTGAAAATTAATCCACTAACAAGTTAAAAAAAATTTAACAAGTTGAGTAAAAAATATCAGTTTTTTCAAACTGATGCTTGTTCACCCCTGGTTTGGATACCGTGGGATCAATTCTGTACGACAGTAGAGAGATGTGTTGATTGCTTACACTTAAATCTCAATTTGCACGTAAAGTATCTATTTTTCTTATTAAAGCTCTTCTTTTTCGTCGTAGAATTATGGTATAATTTTTGTAATTCATGATACGGTGAAGAATTATAAAGTTTTGAATGCTGTTGTTATCTGGTTATTATCATAGCAAATTCTCAAGTTCAAGTCTTACGTCCATTGTATGCAAGTAGTGCCCATCAAGCCCAAACAAAGTTTGGGGAGACCTAAACTACAACTATTTGCCTCAAAATAGAACCTAGACTACTATACACACATGCAGTTGCTAAACCTAAACTTGAGCAATTGTACTAGACTTGAACTCGAACAAGCTATTTTTTTCCAAAGTATGAAAACAGTGTTGGTTGCTTATCACCACCACTCTTGATGTTTCCCTTTTTCCTTGCGGGACTTACTTCGATTTCTTCTTTAGATGGCTTTGTATCGGCTGAGAACTCCTCGTAGTCTCTCTTTGTTTGGATCTTCCCTACATCCCCAAAGGACAGTGTTGGAACATTCGACTTTGAATCATGGTTCCCCTCATCTGTTGAGGATGGAAGCTCATCCTCTGTGCTTTTAGGTTCTTTCTTTAAGTTATTCAGCAAATTAGCTTCAACAGATTCATTGCACAAACTCCAGTCCATATTTGATTCTTGTTCCTTTTTAACTTCCCTTGTTGAGAAAAAATTTGAGATCAAATTATTTTCTTGTGTCTTCAATGGTACCTACAAACATAGTAGAAGGTGGATGTTGAAATTTTTATCCATGGTGTTGTATCTAGACCAATGATCTGGACTATCAGCTGATGAATCCTCGGACTATGAAACCAAATAACATAAACTCCAACATGCCCTACCTCTTTAACACACTCGGGTCCTTCAAAAGACAGTTTACCAATTGCAGGGGTCACCGGATACCATACCTAAGTTGAATTTTAGCATGTAAGAAAAAAACTTGTAACTTCATTATCATTAAACATATCTAAAAGGCAGACGTATCATTGTAATTACTCAGATTAACAAGGCTCTCACCAAATCTGGATTTTCATATGGTTTAAGCAATGTATCAATTTTAAAACCATTTAGCCATGAATCTGTTGATCCCTTGTCACCCAAAATTACAGGCATCCTGTCTACACAGAGACATAAATCGAATGTGTTAGTATAAGGCTCCTTAAATTTGGCTATGATGGGAATGGCAGGAATATCTAATTATTCGGCATAATCAAAAGACTCGCATATGCAAATCTCAAGTACTTAATGTGATTCCAAGGAGTATGACTGTATGCGATCAGATAAATCTCTTATCATCAAACTATAATTATACTTGAGCCTTTTCACTCACCATGTCATTAACAGATCTTAAAGTTGCCACATTATTGTGGATGAGTCATAAGCATATTCATCTATACTCCCCAATTAGATGATGCGTACATCCAAGCAAAAAGCTAGGAGATGATGGTAACTATATGAAATAAATTACGAACACATCGAAAGAAAACATGTTCCCATGACTTAATAATACTTATCATTCATTGCTTATCCTAATGTTGACATATTGGTTTAGAAAAAAATAGTGTACAGCTTCATAGCTCTAACTCACTATGACAAACCTTAACATAAAAATTAAAATCCCAAATGTGGACCACCTCATATTTATTAAATTAAACAGAACTTATAACTGTAGAGTTTAGTAACACTGCAATGCTGAAACGAACAAACAAATAAATCAGCAAACAAGTTTTCTAATTAGAAAGGATTTGACTAAATGATTCATAACTCAATCTATTGCTATATTTTAGTTATCGTAGCCTCACACATAAAAACAATTAAAGGATGACTCACCATGAAGCCACTGCAAAGTTGATGAAGCAGACGTAGTGAGAATAGTAAAAGTGTAAAGTTTCTCACCTGCAGGATGAAATACAAAATGTGTTATTCGCTCAAATGGATTATAATTTTAAGAGAAATACCAAATCGTGGATCTTAACAGAAGAGGTCATCATCAATTAACTAATTTAGATCAGCAATTCAGTATAACCCAATGTAAATCACTGGTTAATCAAACTGAATAAAGCAGGGACCCATAAATTTAGTACACAGGTAGTACAACTGGGATGGAGAAATTTAATCACTGCACATTCCAAAGATGTGAATATGAAGAAAGGATGTCACCTTCAGAGTTCTCCCAAGAATCATAAAGAGCAGCAAAAACTAGAGGCCTACCATCCTCGAAATGAATGTAGTAAGGCTGTTTTCTCGACCCATCTTTCTTCCACTCAAAGAACCTGAAAGTATAAACAAGATAGAAACTATGGATACAATGACATGAAGAATGAAAGTGATTCTGGTAAGGTTTCCTATACAGCTAAAAGAAATGAACCAACAAAATAGAGCACCTCAAATGAAGAAAACAGCACCACAATAATTGCTCATCAAGATATCATAAACGGAAATTCTATCCTCTAAAATCTACTATTAATTATCAGTTCAGTTTTAGAATCCAGGGTAACATTTCTTCAAAAGCACGAAAGGTATTATCACATTTTCAAGCTTGAGCAATAGCATCTTCATTTATATATGTGAATTTTCCCACAGCATAAGAACAAGTGCAGTAACAGAATATATGAATTTGTCTACATGGATCAATATACCATCCTTGGTTCCATACCCTTCGACTGCCACCACGCATCGGCTTTTAGGAAGGAGGCGTCGAAAAGAAGCCTTTTCGGATACAGACTCAGATCGAGCATTGAACTGTGGATTTGCAAAATTGCTAACATTAGAAAAGGTTTTTCCACTTTATGATGTCAAAAGATATATAACTGTGTTTCATTAAAGCTGGAAGAGATTTTGAAGCTAGGATAGAATTGTGAAGTCAAAATTAACTTGAAGCTGCAGTAGTAGTCCTATAATTTACATAAGCTACCGAAGATTTTGCTAAACATGTCTATACGGCGTTGTCTGGTTGTTTCTTCTATATTTTTTTATACTTGATTGAATGAGTAAAATACTAAAATATAGCATACATTCAATCCCATTTATTTCCTCAAAATGAATGCCCTAAATAGGAAAATAAACTGCCAATGGATTTAAACTGAAGACTATACAAAGTTGAACACACTTCTTAGAATAAAGGAAGCTTAAATCAAAGGATTACCATCTTGAAAAAGTCCGGCTTGTCAGTTTTCTTAGTGAAACTGGGAACGAGTCCCCATTTCATGCAGTGAAGAACAACACAAGCTCCGTCGGTATTAGATCCATCGTCTTGTCGAACAACGGGCAAATTCATTCCCGGGCCAACATTATACGAAGGACGGTACCTATATGATTTTTCAAATCAAATTCCAAAACCAGCCAAACGAAAAAAGACAGACGCACGAAAGGTGGGAGAAAAAAAAGAGAGACTGAAGTGGATTAACTTTACCGGTCCATGTTAACATGGCGGACCGGATCATTGTTGCGATGGCAAGCTCTGGGGATGTCATCGGCGCGAAGCGTGCAACGAGCTCTTCCGCACATCTCCTTTTGCTTTGAATCGAGTTTTGTGGAATTTTTTGTAAACTAATGAATTACTGCTAAGAAATTTTTATCATTTTTATGGGCGGCAAGCAAGAGCGGGAGTGGAATTTTTTTTTCTCGTGCTTCGCGTTAGAGAAATCTTGTCCTCACCGTTGGATCTCAGAATGCCTGGAGATCGGTGCTTCCAGTCTATTCAATTTTCATTTTTAGGGTAAATTATAAGTTTAGTATCTAAATTATCACTTTTGTCCTGTTTTAGTCACTTAATTATTATTATTTTTAAAATCATATCTAATATTACGTTTTGATTTTATTTTGATAACCCTCTGTTAAAAATTAAGATAACTATTGTTGTGACATTTAAAAAATCAATAATGATGATGTCACATTATCTTATAATAGTACTTCAGTATTAATGTTTAGATAGCTGACAAAAACTGATGACGCTGATTAAGTTTACTAAATAAATAAAAAAACTGAATAAACTGATTATTTTGGTTAAATCAGTTTGGTTTGTTCGGCTATTCTGGTATAATCAACTTTTTCCTCACCCCTAGGGGAGAGAATTTAAGAGTAAGCGGCAGAATAAGAAATCCTTCCCCAAAGGAGAGTAAAAAAATGAAGCATTTCAATTTAATCAGATTGTATATCACGTAATTATCATATTATTTAGCTGTATCTAATAGTTTTCTGAAGCAGTTCGCTTTCCTGAAAGTATACGCATGGGACTAAGCCTAGTTAATATCTGATCATCCTCATTTCTCTTGTTCTGTAGTGATGATGTTAATTTTAATTCCTTTAATTCATATACATGGACACTATAAAGTATATAGTATGTAGTTTGGGCAGCTCACAAACTGGAACACTTGCATGTAGATTACCATCAGCCTCTTATCTCCATATGGCAATAGATGTTCTAGTGCATATTTTAAATTGTATTTATTTCTGGTCGCCTAAATATATGATGCTTCCATACCATTAACACTTATGACAGTAGTGCTGGTTACCTTCTTGTTTCCAAAGTGTCTGCACATGGAGTAACAAGTAACATAAGGCAATGCATCAGTTGGTAATATATAGGAGTTTTAATTTCTTAAAATACATCATTCGATCTTGTGTGCTGGTGCTGCTCAGAGGGAACAAAAGCTACTGATAGTTTTAACTATTTTTGGTCTTAAGAGGCTGATAAGCTGTATTCAGTTTTCATGCTGCTACGTATGATGATAATAATTCATTTGGACTGTTTGGTTTAAAATTTATCTGACCAGCAACTCAGACGTGTTGAATCCAAAGTTGTGGAGACTTGAGACACTGTTAGAACATCTGGCTTGGTCTCCTTTATTAAGAAGTAGAGCTGCCGCAGGATTGGGCAATAGTGGCTTTGATTTGTGATACTATGAAACTCTGCTTTCAATTCAATTCAAGCAATGCAATATTGTGCTCTGCAACTATTTTAGTAGGTTACCATCTTGTGAAGTTTCTTGCTACTTTTCATGTCTTTAATGAGGTCTAAGTTTTCTTGCATTTTTGGTAGTCATGTTTTTTTATTTAGACATCTTTTTTTCCTTTTATTCGTTTTTTCCTTTTTTAAATTAAGTTTTTTCTTTTTTTTATTTCTTTCACTTTCACTTTCACTTTCACTTTTTATTTATTTATTTATTTATTTATTTTCTTACCAAAGTTTATGGAGATATGATAAGAGAATCCAAAATTTGACTACCCATGGTAGTATTTTTATTTATAAATATCTTTTGCTGTCCTTTTAGTTCTATAATAATCGAAATTTTACTTTTGTTTTGTGTTTACATTACATGTAATTAAAGATTGATTGGATGGTGCTGTCTCTCAACCCCAACTGGGATTAGCTGATCTGATTGAGATTTTGTTCCCAACTGGAAACTACACCGCCACTTACTTTAGAAATCTTGCAAAGGTACATTCTTTTTATTAATTTTTATATGTATAATATCAAAATACATTCCTAATATTTGATTGAATGGCCGCATTAGTTTTTATTTTTAAAGCACTTTAGCCCAAATTTTTCATTTTGATCAAAATGAATCTTAATTGACTAAAAATTGTTAGTTGGTTAATTATCAACAATTGTTGTTGATGTTATAAGTTTTATGTTTTTAAAGTGTTGATGTGACACTATTACGTGGACATCAATGATGTTATGATACATAATATGTATCTAAAATGATGATGTAACATTATTATGTGTGCATAAGATAATGCAACACACATCACTAATTTAAAATAATGACATGATACATACCACGTGTTATGTCATGCCATCATTTCTAGACATATAACATGTGTTATATCATGGTTTATGTATATGTGATAGTGTTATATTTTCGTCTAGTTATGGATTATTTCAACTCAAAATAATATATTGGAGGCTAAAATGATTAAAACGAATAAAACTCAAAGTGATATGAAAGGTATTATTATATTTCTGTTTTATTATTTATTTGTGAGCCTGAAATATAAACAAACTGGTTAATGTACAGAGAGAAGGTGTTGTAAGCATTGAGCCCAACATGTGCCAAAGGGATATATCTACACCATTGGATCCTAGGGTTCTTCCTTGTCCTTGATTTGTTTGTTTCATAATCACTTTTGGTATTTTGAATTGTTTTTTTATGATATATCTGATCTGCTGGGTCTTCAATATGAAATGACTAGTTTAAATAAATTATTGTTTTAATTCTCTATGATGTTTTGGGTTTAATTTTTATTTAAAAAATATTAATATCATTGCCTACCCATCACAGTTTATAATGTAACCGAACAAAAATATTTTTCTCGAAATTGACAAAACACAAATCAAAATTATCTTGGTTCAGTTTACACCATTTAAATTTAAAAGAAAATATTTTAACAATGATAAATTAGAGTTCAAAAGTTTGAGTTTAAACTTTTTTAAGTAAATTGGCCAGAAAAATTTAAATGGCACTAAAAATTAATCGCTCGAACAATCAAAAGTGAAATTTTTAATGTTTTCTCACATCCAACAATAAAATTTAGATTGTAAAATAACTTTATTCTTAGTGTTGTATGACAGTTATTTTTCTGGTGTATCACCGGTGATCGGTATTATTATCGATCTAACACCGGTCATACTATATTTCCCAATCTAACACCTTTAGCAAAAAAGCGCGCCCCATGTACCGCGCTATATGCTGATTTGGTGCCACGTGGGTATAGCGCGCCCTCTGCCCCGCGATATACGGTGATCTGACGCCACATGGGTATAGCGCTCCCCTGATCCGCGCTATACCTGGATATCTGACACGTAGGGTATAGCGCGGTGCAGGGGGCACGTTATACCCCTAATTATCAACCCTTCACGTCCCATCCTCACTATAAATACCCCAATCATCAATCACTTTTATCACACCAAATTCTCTCAAATTCTCTAAATTTCTCTCAAATTCTCTAAATTTCTCTCAAATACTCTCTTTTTAAGGTATATTTTATAATATTCTTACTATTATTTTTTTACTTTATTTAATATTTTACTAATATAATTCTTTTGCAGATATATAATGGAAGGTAGTCTACTTCGCTCGGATGGAAATCATATATCTCTACACTTTGCTGATACGGTAACATTTTAACATTTTAATGTAATTTAAATTATTAGTAATATTTAGTTGATTTATTTAATGCATGATTATTAGATTAAGAATTAAATATCTCGACACTTTGCTAATACGGTAACATTTTAACGTTTTAATTTAATTTAAATTATTAGTAATAATTAGTTGATTCATTTAATGCATGATTATTAGATTAAGAATTAATTTTTGTAATTATTTATTTTTAGGAGAAGAACCATGTATTAGATCCTTTTATTAGGAATCTTAAGTTAGTGATACCCAGCCATGTCTTGCCGTATTTAGTAGAGGTTGTATTCGGTTACATAGGTAGATATAAGGGTCACTGTAAGATAGAGACAGACCTGATTTCTGCCTTAGTAGAGCGGTGGAGGCCGGAGACCCACACATTCCATATTCCGTGCGGAGAGTGCACGATAACGCTTGAAGATGTTTCTATGCACTTGGGGCTTCCGGTGGATGGAGATGTGATATCGGGAATAACTTCCGGTTCTTGGACTACTTTGTGTCAGGATAGTCTAGGACGTGTCCCGGAAAATTTTATCGGAGGTAGGATACCGTTAAATTGGTTAGATGCCAATTTTTGGGAGTTGAGCGCAGATGCCTCCGAGGATGAGGTTAAGATGTATGCACGGGCATGCATATTGCAGTTGATAGGAGGGTTGCTGATGCCAGACAAATCGCGTAACCTAGTTTACTGCATGTGGTTGCGACATCTTAGCGACTTTCGTCTCGTCGGATCATTCAGTTGGGGCTCGACAGTTTTGGCTTTGTTGTACAGGGAGATGTGTGGAGCCACTGACTACAGACGTAATGCTATCGGCGGATGTCTCCTGCTGTTGTAGTCTTGGGCATGTTATCGATTGCCCTTTTTATGTCTTGTTGTGAAGAACCTATTCGTATTTCCACTACTTCTAAGGTAATTATAAAACTGATTTTGTATATTAATAATTTTATACAGCGTATAACAATTTTTTTTCCTTTAATAGGTGGTCTACTGATAGGAAAAATCATCAGGAGCTACCTGATGATTTAGAAAAAATTAGGGTGCTAATCGATCAGAAAGCTGATACACATGTATGAATTTTAATGTTTAAAAATCGATTTTAGATTATAGTTATATAATTAGATTATTATTTTGATAAAAAATATATTATTTGTTTTAGTTTGAATGGGTGCCATATTCTACTGATGATGTGAGGGCGGTGATCCCACCTGAGTTGGGGGGTCCATCAGATATTTGGATGGCGATGTCCCTCTGATCTGTTATGCAACCGTCGAGTGGCACTCCACTGATCGCGTGATCCGGCAGTTTGGTTGTTTTCAACCAATTCCGGAAGCACCTCGCAATATGAACGAGTTGCATAGCTTAGATACACGCGGCAAGATAGATACAGATTGGCTGGTGAGGCATCATGGGTGGGTC